GAAGAGAGGTGAGATAGGTAGCTCTGGCTATTAATCAGCATGCAAGTGATAAAAGCCAAGGATAGCTGGAAAAACAGAAAGAAACAAATATGAAACAAGTAAGAATAGAACTTACTTTATGAGTAGTACATGAAAATTTTTTTTTAAAAAAACCCTCTGTCACCAGGCTGGAGTGCAGTGGCACGATCTTGGATCACTGCAACTTTCACCTCCTGGGTTCAAGCGATTCTTGGGCCTCAGCCTCCCAAGTAGCTGGGATTACAGGCACGCATCACCACACCCAGCTAATTTTTGTATTTTAGTAGAGATGGGGTTTCCATGTTGGGGCCAGGATACTCTTGATCTCCTGACCTCCTGATCTGCCCACCTTGGCCTTCCAAAGTGCTGGGATTACAGGCATGAGCCACTGCGCCTTGTCGAAAATACTTTCTTAAGACCTAGTACCAGACTTCATTAGAGAAGTAATTACTGGTTTTTAGGAAAAGTGACTTTGAATATGGAATGTGAGCTCTGGAAGGAAGACTCAGGAGGAGCAAAACAAAGATCACTAATGTTCTTCACGAAAAGTAAATGAGAAGGCCTCCTTCAACATGGTTGACTGAGCTTTCCTTTATAAACTCATAGAAATAATGGATAAAATATATAATTATTGTTATATAAATCATATACAACCTTAAAAACAAAAAACAACAAAAAGGAAATTCTCAGTGCCCGAAATAAATTTTAAAAATTGAATAGCAGAAAGCAGAACTGATACTTCGGTAACCCTCCAAAATTTTATACTTGGCCATATGCCTCAGGAACCAGTAGTTGGGTTTTAATGTCCAAGCACAAGGCTAAGCTTTAATGAGGCAGGTGAGCTGGAACTAAGCCCTTATTTAAAACCTAGAGCCTTAGGAATAGCCAGCCACTAGAACTGGAAAAAGGTAATCTACTAGTCTGGGGAAGCGATGAAGAAGTTTGTTCTTTGGGGCTTTGGATAGGGAGAAAAAAAGAAAAAACATAAGGTACCTATGAGAAATCAAAACCGCAGCCCTGCAAGAGATATAAATTTATAATATTTGCATAAGTCAGGAGCCACAGACTGAGAAATTATCATTTGAAAATGCTTCGGATCTTTAAGAGCTACAGTATGCTGGCAGAAGGAAATGCATAATTGCTCTAAAGGGACTCTTTTGCAACTAAGGGCATAAGAGAGTCCCATAAACAAAACCACCCACCGAAGAAGAGCACCACATGAGGAACTAAATCACCGAGTAAGAGTCAGTGGAGGTTGTCAACAAGAGTTAGGAATTGAAAAGCTAAAAATAACAGAACTAACAGAAAATAAAATAAAGACATATAACTTGACTAAAAGGGCAAAATAATAGAAATCATAATGAAAGAATAGGCAGAATTCACAAAAAAACAAACAGAACATGTATTTTGGAAAACAATATTGTCATTGAAACGAAAATGAATGGGTCTAACCAGATCCCACCGGTGAATGAATATAATAACTTTGTTTTCTATTCCTCATTTTAAATTATACTTAGCTGGGTTTCTTTGCAAGTTTGTCAAACAGTTTATATTTGGTGAACCCACAGTTCAAATAATAACGCGTTAGAAATAAAATAGAGTCATGCGTTGCCGAACGACGAGATACGTTCTGAGAAATGCCTCATTAGGCAATTTCATTGTTGTGCAAACATCATAAAGTATACTTACACAAACCTAGATAGTATAGCCTTATGATCCTAGACTATAAACTTTTCTAGCATATTATGTACTGAATAATGTAGGTAACTGTAACTCAATGTTGTGTTTGTGTTTCTAAACAGAAAGGGTAGTATGCTGCACTATCATGTTACAACATCACTAAGCAATAGGAATTTTTCAGCTCCATTATAATCTTAAGGGACCATAGTCATACAATGTAGTTGGACGTTGAAATATTATGTGGTGCATGACTGTATTCAAAAAGTGTTGCTAGGCCCCTGCCCTCCAGCCTGAGACAGAGTGAAGCTCCCTCTCTAAAAAAAAAAAAAAGTGCTGCTAGTCAATACAATGTAAAAATATAAACTGTCATTATCAATTCATTCCCTTGAACCTAAAAATAGCGTCTCAACAAAATGAGTCTTCCTTACTTCTGCGGGAAAGTCCTTTTTTTCCTGTCCTTTGTTCCAAGGAGAAAGGATTCACTCAGGTCCTTGTGAGAAGAGCTTCTTTAGCACTCTAAAATTAGAAAAGTATACCCTGGACAGAGCCGGTTCCTTCTAGTTCCCTAGGATAGTAGAGCACCAAATTTTTCTCCTAGGTCTTGCTTTAGGGCTGTATGTGTGTCCTTGCTAGTACTGATGCCTTCCATATAAGGACTCAGACTCCACTAGCTGCCAGATTTCCGCTTGAAACACTGCCTGCTAATGTTGAAGCTTTCAAACGATTTTAATCCATGGCGATGAAGCAAGAACAGTGTTTTCTTTAACTGCATCTACCCTATACTCTCTCTCTTTCTACCCCTCACATCTCCAAATGAGGGGGCTTTACTGGCTTTGCGCCTTGTTTCCACTCACCTGTGGTGATCTCAGGAGGCAGAGTTTGAAGTTAGTCATCAGTGATTTCCTCAAGTCCATTTGTCCTATATTTAGCAGCAATTCCTTAGTGGTTCTGGCATGCAATGAGACTAAAACTGATAGAGATCTCCACCTTCATAAGCATTCTTCATTTTGATCAATGGTCTTAATGGGAGTAGTTAGATCTGCACATTCTTCTAACCACCCAGAAGTCCTTAACCAACAACAGTGCATTTGTATGTTTTCATCCATTTGACATAAGTGCATCAGCTAGTTGTTAAAGTGCAAAGACTAACAGTCTGTCTTCACACATATTTCCATACCAAGAATCACTTTATTTCACAACTTGACTACGTCCACATTAGGATTTGTTGGCAAATTAAAATTATTTACTCACAAAATGATAAACGGAAGGAGACACAGCTGAAAGTAAATGTGTAAGAGTTAACAGAATCAATACAATTGAATAGCTGTGGAGCCTAGGGGATGCAGGAATCAAGGCAGACAAAGATATCTGCTGAAGTAAATTAATGTTAGGTCACTACCCATGGTTGACATCACAGAAATGAGTAAGCATATCAGAGTAAATAAATGAATCCTTTCTTAAACAAAAAACCCATAAAACTTATTTTACTCCCTTAACGAGAAATATTTTCAAAATTTAGGCCCATTCCTGGTAGATTAAGACCAGTTCAGATGACTGCATTGCCATTCCAGGGCCAAGAAAGCAACTTCAAAAACACGCCCTATGCTATGGTCTAAATATGTCCCTCAAACTTCACATTTTGAAATCCTAACCCCCAAACTGATGGTTTTGGCAAGTGGCCTCTTGGGAAGTGAGGAATGGGAAGAAAGGAAAGGCCCTTATAAGATAGGCCCAAGGGAGGGCCTCTGCCTCTCCACCATGTGAGGACAGGGTCAGAAGGTGCTATCCACTGAACAGAAAGCACTCCTTCCTAGACACACCTTGTTCTGTGACATTCCAGCGTTCAGAAATGTGAAGAATAAACCTCTGTGGTTCATAAGCTACCCAGTCTATGATATTTTGTTATGGAAGCCCAAAAGGATCAAGCCATCCCAAAATGGCATTGTCCACACCATGTTTTTGTACCTCACCTAGAAAAACACCATACCCATTCGGAGTTAAATCCTTCCTAAATCTTTAGTATCAACGTGCTTGGAAACCTAAGTAATGCTGACACCTTCTTTCTTTCTAAAGAACAATACATACCAATTAACAGGATCGGTGAATAGTACTAGATTCTATGCATGGAGCCTAGTATGTATTTAAAAGCATGCAATCTGGAACTAGACTGGGAACAAATCCCAGCTTACTAGACAAACTGCTTAACCTTTTACTTGGACTCATTCAACTCATTTGTAAAACGAGGGCAATTTCTGATTTCACAGGGTTGCTACGAGGATTTTAAAAAGCCCCTTGGAACATAGCCTAACACTCAGAACTCAATAAATATGAACTGTCTTAAAAGGTTTCCAGAAAAAATCCCTGACAGGTTAGGTAGGCTTATCATTACAACGCTTTCCAGTGTAAGGGAGGTGAACAGCTATTTAGCACCACACAACTCCTCTGGACTCAGAACAGCTCTCAGTAGACTACGATCCCTTCCCGACGTGAAAATTTCAGATAAAAAGGCTCGGCGAGGTCCGAAGGCAGCACGGGACGGAGCCAGGACGCGGGCCAGAGTCCTCCGAAGGACTGTGCCTCTCCGGCCCCACCGAAATACAGCTTTTACTTTGCAGCAATCTGAGCCAACCCGAGAAGATTCTGAGGCTTCCAAAACAGAACCGACAAGAACACTCAAACAATGCCTCTACACCTCCTGACTCTGTCGCTTTGCGTGAAGAGTAGTAAGCCGCGGTGAGCACCGCCCAGAACTCGAGAAGGCGGAGTCTGCAGGGCGCCGAACGCTGACTAGAGGACCCGAGGAGGGGCGGGGCTGACGAAGCGCGAGGACCTGGGGCCGAGGTGTGGGGCTGACCATAGCGTGCCTGACGCCGGTGTGAACATATACTACCTGCTCTTGTAGTGCCCAGGCCCGCGCCTGGGAGTCCCCGGAGCTGCCATTATCGAGACTCTGCGTCCTATTGCCCTGAAGCTTTAATCCTTCGCGTGTAGGGGAAAAATGGAACCCTAAAGACAGGCAGCTCCTAGGCACCAGCACAGGAAATAAGCAATGGAGGTGGGGTCCTTTGCTCGCGCCGAAATTCAAAGGAATAAATAGTTCCGGCGCGGGTGTTGAGAGCGGTGCGGCAGGTGTTGTAGCCGCTATGGTGAAGTTCTCTTCGTAGCAGCCGCGGCTAGAGAGTTGGCCTGCTCCCCGCCTTTGTGACCCGGAGGAGCTTTTGGGGTGCGTCAAGCCCTGGCCTGAGGCAGCGGTGAGGCGTGTGCGTGAGCACGGCCGGTTGGGCCCGGCCAGACATCCTGGCGGGAGGCGGGACGCGGGGGCTATGGGGAGGAGGACTTTAGGTGATCCTTAGAAATAAAGGCTAGTTCCTATTCGGCCTTGGAGTAGGGCGAAGAGGTGTAGACAGGCCTCAAGAAGCGAAGTAACAGCCTGAGTAAAAGCAAGACGTTGGAGAATATGAGATACATCTCATCCCTAGTAAATACTTAAATGACTTCCCCTCCTCCCGGAGTCAAGCACAATTCGGGGATGCAATGATGGACGTAGGTGAAGATACTACAGGAACTTACAGACAAGTAATGACCGTCTAATACCAGTTTTAAGTACCATAAAGGAAAAAGCCCAGTGAAGAAGTGTGGAGAGGTGACACAGGGAGGTCAGGGAGGACTCCAGTAGGGTGACACATTTGAGCAAAGACGTGAGTGCAGTAGAGAGTAAAGCTATGTCAGTATCAGAAAAAAGCACATTGTGGGCAAAGATAATGGGGTATGAAATAATCCGTAGTCTTTATTAGCTAGAGAATGATGAAAGTAGAAGGCAAGCCTGGAAAAACAGGTGTAAGAAATAGTTAAGACTTCCCAGTTGAATGGTTTAATTTCCAGATGGTGGCTAACTCTGTTATATTTTTGAGTGGATGAACGATGTCTTTACATCAGACTAGATAGTTTGTCAAGTGGCTGTTTTATTTCTATTACCCTATCATTACCGTTTTTGCCTCGTGTTCATTATGATTCCAGGTTTACATTCCACTTAGGTGGTGGTATTTCTGTTTCGTACAGAAGTGGTTTGTGGCCTGTTTGATTCCTGTCAGAGGTTTGCTGACCCAAGACAGTATCGAAAATGCATATTAAGTCAATTATTCTAGAGGGATTCAAGTCCTATGCTCAGAGAACCGAAGTCAATGGTTTTGACCCCCTCTTCAATGCTATCACTGGCTTAAATGGTAGTGGAAAATCAAACATATTGGACTCCATCTGCTTTTTGCTGGGCATCTCCAACCTGTCTCAGGTAAAGTGTAAACTTTCTGATTTATTTGAATTTAAGTGGGCAGGAGAATCCTCCCTGAACTTTGGAGACTTAACAATATTCTCTTCATTTGTGTTTTTATACTTTTTGTAAATTACACCTTACTGTCACCTTTTAAGGAAACTATTATTACTCCTTTAGATGAGAAAATAGAAACATAGAGATGTTTATGTTGGAGATGTTTATAAGTAACAATGCCTCAAAACTCAGGCTTTCTGACTGTAAAGTAGTCTCATTCCAGAGTATTTTCAACCCTGTGTAATGATGCCTTTTCAAATCCTGCTAATGGATTGAATGACTAGTGAAAATCATTGGGACTGTCTTTCCTTATATCTTGCCAAGTAACTTTTTGTTAAAAAATGAATAGGAAACAATTCAATTCAGAGTTGAAAAGGTTCTATAGAGAAAAGTGTCCATTTCAGGTTGTTACCTATTTTCCTTGCCAGAGTGTGCAGCTGCCTATCCTTGTCTGCTTAGTGGACACTATGTTGGTGGGTTTTCCAACAGCAAGGAATTCATTTTTAGTGCTGCTTTGTACAGTAGGGAGTTTTGTAATTGATACACTTTTCTTCTTTTATTTTAGGTTCGAGCTTCTAATTTACAAGATTTAGTTTACAAAAATGGGCAGGCTGGTATTACCAAAGCCTCTGTGTCAATCACATTTGATAATTCTGACAAAAAGCAAAGTCCTTTAGGATTTGAGGTTCATGATGAAATCACAGTAACAAGGCAGGTGAGTGGCTATTAAACATTTCGATATCTTAAGACCTTTTATGTCTGATGTGGTTTTTGGCCCTATGCCTTTGCAAAACGTGCTAGAGAAAGTTGATGAGCAAAATTTGTGCCTTAAATTCTGACTAGATTCCTTAATATCTTCCTTACATTAAAATTTTGATCATGTACACTCTATCACTAAGAGAACTGAAAAGTTACTCATCCGGTATAAGCACTCAGCTATGCTGAAATCTTAAACCATACTTGAATCTTCTCTGGCTGTTCTTGAACACCTGTGTACTTGAGATCTTGCAGTCTTCTGAGATAACCCATTCTGTTTTTGGACAGGTCTTACTAGAAAGTTACCCCTATAAATTTTGTCAGAGTCTGCTGTCTTCAAATTTTATTCATTAGTCCTAGTCCTCTTGAGAGCACTAAGAGCAAATCTGACTTATTCCCTACTTCAGTGTTCAAGTGATCTGCAAGCATATGTGTTTTAGTTCTAAGTGAAATCTTACCAGGTCTTTCATTGATGTTTGTTCCTAGTTCCTTCACTTGCCTGATTATACCAGGTATGCTCCAGTTTCCCTCCCTGCCCCTGCATTCATCTATCTATCTTTTAATGACACCTTAGATTGAGTGTACTAAAATCGGTCTAGTTAGAGTTATTCTTTCATTTTAGATATTCTACTTCTATTTTTCTCAGTAGAGCTTTTTTTTAATGTCTGTTATTAATATAGTCAGGCAGTGTTTTCAGCTTGTCAAGGTTTTTTGTTTTGTTTTGTTTTTTGTTTTTTGTTTTTTTTTTGAAGACGGAGTCTTGCTCTGTTACCCAGGCTGGAGTGTAGTGGCACCATCTCAGCTCACTGCAATATCCGTCTCCCAGGTTCAAGAGAGTCTTCTGCCTCAGCCTCCTGAGTAGCTGATACTACAGGCACCTACCACCACACCTGGCTAATTTTTTTTTTGTATTTTTAGTAGAGACGGGATTTCACTGTGTTGGCTAGGGTGGTCTCAGTCTCCTGACCTTGTAATCTGCCCGCCTCGGCCTCGTGAGCCACCGTGCCCAGCCCAAGGTTTTGTTTTTAAAAATGTGGTCAACTCCCATTTACTGTCCATCTTATCATTTATCACTTACAGATTTTCTCCTCTATTTTAATGGAAGCCTCTGATTTAAAAAAAAAAAAAGAAATATAGGCTAGGTTAGGACAGAATCCTGTTCTGTGTCATTAGGCATCCATCAAATATTTATCCTTTAGGAACTGTCACTAAGTCTCTTACTAATAATCTACCTAATTGTTCCTGTCCTCATTCAGGCTATAAACTTGTATCTTCACCAAAATTATAAAGTTTTTGTCAGAGAGGTCTCTTCAAATACATTAATATATGAACTACCAACCTAGTAGTCCTGTCAGGAAAATAAATGAACCACTATATATTCAATGTTTATTAAATACTTGATGTATATTGGGTGTTCTTGAATGTACTGGGATGTAGTTAGAAGAGTGAGAAACAGAACTTGTCTTTAAGGACCTCAATCTGGTAGGTGAGACAGTCATACCCAATAAATGACAATTTAAGTGTGATAGTAGAGTATGGTGTCTGAGATGACTTAATGAAACCATACTGAAGCTCTGTGATTACCCTTTCTTTTAAATGGTCACAAATCATGTCTTTATTAATAGCTTTTTGAATCTTGTCAAGAATTGATGTCAGGCTACCTTGTCTGACTTCTGTTCCTGTTGAAAAGTAGAGAAAGCCTCTGTAGAAAAGTTACAGAAAGAAGGTAACTAGGAAAGGAAAGTATGTTTTACATATACTTGGAAACATAAAGCTAGAAGGTAACCTTGGAGACCTAGTCTGGTGCAGGCCAGCGTAAGAGGCTTGTGTGTAATTGCATAATTAGTTAGCAAAAGTACTTGCATTAAACACCGGTTGTCCTGACTCAAGTTAGTGTTTTTAGCCATGTCATACTTGTTCCACTATTTATGCAGAATTGGTTTTGTTTACTGCTAGTTGGACAGAACAAATAAACGTAAGCTAATATGCTTAGTAATTTATCCTAGCTCAAGGTGTGCATGTACATGAATATTTTTAAAATTGCTTTCTTTTATAGGTGGTTATTGGTGGTAGAAATAAATATTTAATCAATGGAGTCAATGCTAACAACACAAGAGTACAGGATCTCTTCTGTTCTGTTGGCCTTAATGTTAACAACCCTCACTTTCTCATCATGCAGGTATTTTGTTTGAGGTCTTTATGTCACTTTCGTAATAGTGTTGACATGTTTTACATTTAAGCAGTTAAAATAAAAGTACCATAAGTTTTGGATTTTATACTTTTTATTTACTATTGTGCTGTGTCTGGCCATCTGTTAAGAAATGTGATTTAGTTACTTGCAGTGATATATTCTACTGTATTGTAGACCTTTGACTCCTCTACAATGTTTAGGAGTAATTTTTCTTGACTTTTTATGTTGTCACTAAAAGAACAATACATGTTAACTGTAAAAAAAAGAAAAAAGAAAGCAAGCCATAATATGTCCTTTTAAATTATTGAATTAATGCATCTTAGTATTTCAAGTATAAAAGTTTGAATAATTTGCTTATTTAGAGACACAAATGAGGAGTAAAGGCTGATTTTATCTTACATTTACATTATGTCATTTGACCCATCCAGCTATCGTTTGAGAGAATTACAGTAAAGTCAATGGGAGCATCTCAGTGGGATCAAAATAAAAATATTTCCACTACACACCTTCAGAGTTGAAAACTTACTTTTAAGTGAATCTACATTCTAGTAATACGATTCTCTGAGACCTGGGCATGCAGGTGTTTTGTTTTACTTGTTTTTGGTAATGAATGAATTTAATGGTTTACTGGCATTGATATAAAATATTTTATTTTATTTAAAGCCTAGAAGTATGTCATCTGTTTTGTGAATTATCCTGGAGGGTTATCATTCAAATAAATTTTAAAAGTTTATTAATTATGCCACAATTTCTGTTTATATTTACGTGTTTTAAAATTGAATATTTCTACTTACGAATGTTAACTGTCTCAGAAACATGGTCCTTGTTAACTTTGTATCATTTAATGAATTATTTCATTTGTATCATTTCCTAACTTCCATAATTTGTATCACTGGTAAGTGGGAAAGTTAATAGTAAAGTCCCAAAATTCTAGAATCATGGAAGAATTATAAAGGAAAGATCCCCAAAGATTGGTAAAAGGAGATAAAGCAGCTTCAGTCTAGATAAACATGAATGGCAGTACAGATAAACATTTTCTGTAATTTGTTATCTTAGTAAGTTTCCATTTTATTTTCAGGGCCGAATTACAAAAGTATTGAATATGAAACCTCCAGAGGTAAGAGTACTATTTATGGACATTAAAAATAGTTGGTATAGATATTTAATCTTTCAGACAATTTTTAAATATTATTAAAATTTTTTGAAACATTGTTTAGGAATGATTAGTAAAGACAGTTGTATATTTGTGTAATGTTTGGCACTGTGCCCAGATATTAAAATTGATTTTGATCGTGTAAAGGAGTCTTACTCAACTGGTGTTTCATGTCAGAATTCATTCCTACAGAATAAGCCTACAGGAAAAGATTTGTGTGAAATTACTGTATTTAACTTTAATGGTTCATTTGGGCCAAATTTTGATAAGATGTTTAGTGAGGTCAAGGCAAAAATGTTATATTTAATGTAAATTCCAGTTGGACACATTGTCTTGGATACTAAACGTTAATAAAATTGTCATTCCAGATTTTATCCATGATAGAAGAAGCAGCTGGAACCAGGATGTATGAATACAAAAAAATAGCTGCACAGAAAACTATAGAAAAAAAGGAGGCTAAGCTGAAAGAAATTAAGACGGTAATTTAATTCATATAAAACATTTTTGGAGAAGAATGTAATTTTGCATGTAGAGTTTTTGCTGTAAAGAGGGAAAAATTTTTTTTCTTGGTTCAGTTTTCCATAGCCATCCATGCTACTTCTCTTTCAAATACATTTTAATAGTACTTTACATGCTAAAAATACTGATTTTTCTTTGTTTTCCAGATACTTGAAGAAGAGATTACTCCAACCATTCAAAAATTAAAAGAGGTATATTCTGTATATTTGAGGATAATCTATTAGAACGTCTTTCAAAGTCAGCGATGTATCCAAAATCATACACATGGTGATACTATTTCTTGGGGTTTTTTTCCTGCGATGAGATAAGGAATTAGAGTTGGCAGTCCATAATTGAGCCTTCTGCTTGCAGAGGATATATACTTATCTACTGAGTCATAGGATATTGGAGAGTAATATTTATAGTTTCAGAAAATGTTATGCTGAATTTTAATACTTTATTGAAGCTAAGCAAGTCTGGATTTTCTTAGATAAATAGGATTGACTGGAACAACATTTCTTAAAGATAATGGCACCCTTAGACACCCTCATTGGTAGAGTGAACAATTTCCAGGATAAGAGGGGCTATCACTATAATTATTGCTGTCAAGGTATTTTGTAAGCAGAAGATGTTGAAACAGAGGATTGGGTTTTCTCTATAATCTTTGCTGCTCCTGATATCAAAAGACATGGCAGTATTTCATGAAAGAATACATTTATGAGCTACATTTTCGTTTTCTTGAGACAAGTCTCACTCTGTCGCCCAGGGTGGAGTGCAATAGTGTGATTACAGCTCACTGCAGCCTCCACCTTCCAGTCTCAAGGAATCCTTCCACCTTAGCCTTCTGAGTAGCTGGGGACTATAGATTCATGCCACCACACCCTGCTAGTTTATTATTTTTTTGTAGAGATGGAGTTTCTCGTCGTTTCTTAGGCTGGTCTTGAAATCCTGGGCTCAAGTGATCCACCCACCTCGGCCTCGTGAAGTGCCGGGATGACAGGAGTGAGCCACTGTGCCCAGCCAAACGACGTTTTAAAAGATATCCATTTAGGAATTTATTAAATGCTCATTGAAATTTGGTACTACTCAGAGCTGTCTTGTGAATCCATATAGTAGTGTAGATTTTACTGGAAAAATTGTGGTCTTGAAGGTACCCTTTTTGTATGCATGATTTAGTAGAAAACACTAGATCAGGAATTTAAACTTAGGTCCTCGACTTGATTTTGCCACAATTTCTTCCTAAATCTAACAACATGGACAGATCATTTCATCATCCTGAATTTGATTTTTATGTGTAAATTAAGGATTTTAGTTATTACTTTGTCTGGTCCCATTAGGTCCTTATGGGAATCATGTTTAGTAATGATGTGAGCAAGTGCTTATAGTAGTGCTTCAAAGAATATTAGAGTAGGCATCTTGGTAATACTACTACAGAATCTGTGTAATAGTGTATCATTGGTGGGTGTGTAAGTTGTCTTTAACAGACTTATTAACACTAGCTTACGAACTTTATGTCCATATTTCTTTGTTAAGCTCAGCTGCCCAATTATTTGTTAGAAGAAGTAGCCAAATAAGATTCACTAGAGAAGTTATAATGCTATCTGAAAGTCCTGACTTCTAATGTTGTGTAAAGTATCCTACAATTTAAGATGTTATAATTGTTTAATACAGGACAAAATCTATTGCATCATGTAATGAGAAGTTTGATACATCTTGCATAATTAAATTTTTTTTAATACAATTTTGAGTTACTATTTTTTTGCAACTTCCCTTTCAGGAAAGATCTTCCTACTTGGAGTACCAAAAAGTGATGAGAGAAATAGAACATTTGAGTCGTTTATATATTGCTCATCAGTTTTTGCTGGCTGAAGATACCAAAGCACGCTCAGCTGAGGAGTTAAAAGAAATGCAAGATAAAATTATAAAGCTTCAGGAAGAATTGTCTGAGAACGATAAAAAAATAAAAGCACTTAATCATGAAATAGAAGAATTGGAAAAAAGAAAAGATAAGGTCTGTACATATGTATTAGAATCGATAATATACTCTGTGGAAAACATACTACATTTTGGTAACTAGGATTCAGTGGGCATGGTCTGTTGTATTGATTTCTTAATCTTATAGTAAGATAATGAAATAACTTATAAAAAAGTATTTGATACAGAACTCATACAATAAAATGACAACATGAGCAAATTTTATATAAATGACTGACTTGGCTGCATTTTATTACAGGAAATTGGAGGTATACTTCGATCTTTAGAAGATGCTCTTGCAGAGGCTCAGCGAGTTAATACTAAATCTCAAAGTGCATTTGATCTCAAAAAGAAAAATCTGGCATGTGAAGAAAGCAAACGCAAAGAGCTGGAAAAAAATATGATTGAGGTAAGTGAGCTTAATGTGCCACTAGTGCCACTTGTAGACAAGTGTATAGTCTCACTAGTGTACATTTATCTATTCCATTGAATATTTAGTGAGTGTCTGCTATACGCTAAGTACAGTTGTTTGGGCTGGGGTTACAACTGGACCAAATGGTCACAAGTCCTTGCCTTGTGGGCGTTCATTCCATTGGGGGAAATGATAATAAAAAAAATAAATAAAACGTGTAACATGTTATATAGTGATAACTGATGTGGAAAAAAGGTAAAGCAGGGAAGAGGATTAGGGGTGTAGAGGAAAAAGGGTACAGTTTGGGATTTTAAGTTCGGTAGCCATTGAAGTAAGGTAGAGAGTAGGGAGAACAGGTTTGATAAGCTTAAGAAATACAGTGTGAATGTAATATGCGTGAGGAGCCTGTTAAGACATCTTGAGTAGTGATGTTGATTAGGTACTTAAATATATGAATAGTGAATCCAGGCAAAAATACAAATTTGGAGGGATCATCAATGTATAGGTGTTATTTAAATCCATGAGACTAGATAAAATGATCAAGGCTGTAAGTTTATATAAGAAGGTTGGAGCCCAGGGATACTTTCAATATTTGAATGTTGGGATAGTTCAGCATTCAAAACAGATTTAGTAGCGTGAGGAAAATTAGGCGAGTAAATTGTCCTGGAGTTCAGCTAAAAAAGATATTTCAAGGAGGAGTGTCCGTGAGTACCTGATTAGATTGTGTTCATACTCTGACAGAATGAAAGCAGAAAAAAGAAAAGTGACTATAGATAACTTTTTGAGAAGTTTTCTGAAAGAAGGAGAAATAGGGAGCTAACAGGAGAGTAATACAGAAGAAAGAGTTTTTTTGGCTTGATTTTACATGGGATAAATCAATTCTATATTGACAGAAAAGATCCAGTAGAAAAGGCGTCATTTGTAATTCAGGAGAGAGAGATGGAAGAGTTGTTAAAACAGGGCCCTTTAGTAGCTGAAAGTAGGATAGGAACTAACGTATAGAGGTCACCTTCATGAGAACTAGGAATAGGTCATCCATGGTAACAGAAGAGTCAAGTATATAGTCTCATATGTAGGTAGATGAGTAGGTGTGTTTTTGGAGCTTATGGCATTTCTTTTGAGGGTGATTCTGTTGTCCCAGTGAAGATATACATTTGCCTTTTCACTGAAGAAAAATTAACTTTTTGAAAATAATTTCTTTATATTGCCCTGTTAGATATTTTTGCAGAGAAATACAGTGGTTGAATTAAGAAACAGGAGGAAAATTTAGACAAAATTTTGAAGCAATATGAATGTGATGTAGCAGTCTGTGTTGTGACATCCAACAACTGAAATCAAATCACCAATTACTTTTTTTTTTTTAAGGTTTTGTAAAGCTCTAAATGTGTGGGCCTGCCTTGTTTTGGGTTCATTTCTCTTTAGTCTTGTCATGTCCTTAAGCTTCACACACTGATTGCTCCTTTTTCATCCTTCTTTTCTGTATCCCTTATTCTTCTAGATCTCTTAATGTTAGTATGCCCTAAGGCTAGCACTCTGATATCTTTTATAAATGTTCATGACATAGGTGGTCTCATCCAGGTCTGTAACTCTAAATATCATCTATATGTTGATATCTTCCAAATCTCTAAGCAGTCTTAACTCCCTGAACTCTTTGAAGCAGGTTTATTGTATGCAGGTTACCAGCTTGTCTGAGGACAGCAGACGGAACACATTCATACACAACATTTTATGTGAAATGGATTTATTACTTATTGATAGGCAACAAGGGAAAACAGAAGTCTAGGATTCATTGCAAGCCAATCCCCCAAGGCTCAGAAAAGCTGCCTAAGGTGGTTACAATTTCATTTGCATGTGCCCAACTTGCACAGCAGCTGAGGGACCCCAGAAAACAGCCTGCTCTGGGTTTATACCCTGGAGTAACATGAGACACTGGGCTGAAGCATTGAGATTCTGTTTTAGGGCAGCTGGAGAAGCAGACAGGAACAGTCCTGGCTGTTCCAGCCATTGCCTCCCTTTCTCGGGATATTGCATTATCAGCACATTCTACAGTTATTCTTGAGAACTATAAGCCAGAGAGGGGAGAACTGGCTTAGTCTAGTGCCACCTAAGGAGTTGTCTTGTAGTTTATCCTCCAATCTAGGTTCCCACACTAGCAAAGCTAGTCCTTTTATTATGCCCACAGACTTCTCTGAATCTGAAGGAGAAGGAGGTTTGTCTTAGATGGATATAACACTCTGACTGACGTAATCTCATTGCAGTATTGTTGAGCCATAGCCAGAATACATTTCACTGTGCCCAGGAGGACTACAAGCAGGATGATCAGGCCTGCCTGGAGCACTGACTCAGCCCAGGATCCCAATAATCCAGATATGAAGTTGTTAAAGAGGTCAAAGAAGGATCCTTCAGACCTGCTTCCAGATCTGTATTTGTGGCTCTGCAGTACCTAAGGTGTTTATCTAGGTACAGCAGGAAGCGTTGGCAACCACATACGCTCTTTCCACTTGTGCTAACAGATTTAGAGCAGTTGTCTAAAACAACCTTCCCAAGGGATATCTGCTGGGCTGAAAAGCAATGTTATGTATGGTACCGAAGATTTTATAAAGCACTTAAACCGAGAGTCAGTAAAACCTCTTGGTAGGTCCTGAGTAAATCTGTTGTACAGCTTTAGGCTGCTGGCCCTAGAATGCATCTCATTTCTAGGAGTGATACGTAGGGGCATCCCCCAGCATACCCAACGTACAGGATCCCACCATCTGCCAGCTTTCCAGGCCTGACATCGCCCATCTTCTGTTTGGGTCACTCCTACACTGCCCATGGAAAATGATGTAGTCCTTGGCAAACGTCTTTTTTTACCTGGACTCCAGGACAACTTACTGGCCTAATTTTCCTCACAGTACTCAATCTCTTGAATGTTGAACTATCCTAACATTCAAATGTTGAAAGTATCCCAGGGCTTCAGCCTTTTTATATAAACTTACATAGCACCGTTTCCCCCGTTTTACTGTTCAGTGACCCCATTCATGGGTAGGGAGGCATTAGCGTTTGCCAGCTAAATCTCATTAGTGGTATAGTTGCATAAGTTCAATTTCCCCCATACAAAATTGTTCATGAAGCTCCTACACAGAGGGCTTGCACTAGTTCATTGTGTTTCCTTCGTCACCAATGGGACACACCCATTGAGGTTATGTTATGTTTCATCATGACATTTTGCCACAGTTAAGTTAAAATGGCATTTTTGGCACCCTTTTATGTGACAGATGCTATGTCCTCTCATGGAAGCCAGGGGTTGGGGTCTATTGACGTACACTGTGACATTAGGAATGCTAGGGTAGTTCACTGCTAGCAGGACCAGATTGTCACTGTGGGCTATGACAGAAAGTTCCTGGATATCATGTCTAACATCTTATGTTACCCACCATGGCCACAGCTTGGGAGGTGTTTTGCTTCCAGGTCTTTGCTGCCACATCCTTGTGGAAAAAGTGTATTGACAGGTTAGTGCTCCCACCTAACACTCTCCTGGGATCTCAGATGTTCCCACCTAACACTCTCCTGCGATCTCAGATGTTCCCGAGCTATCATAGGGATTGGGCTATACATTGCAGTGCTGTGTTTCCTTTGTGCTAAAGTACAGTGTTTAAGTCCATAATGCCCTAGTCAGATGTTGGTACCACCTCACTAACAGGCCACCTTGATATCCTTCAGTTACTTTATGAGTAGGCTATTTCATTGTTTCATTTTCGTTGCTTCAGTTTAGCTCCATTGGCTTGTGAATAACAGGGTGCATGGAAAGTCCATTGTATTCCACAAGAGAATGCCCATTGTCATGCTGGTTGGGCAGTGAAAGATGTTCCTTGGTCAGAGTGAAATATGATGAAGTATAAAAAAAAATGACGTTTCTTTCAAGGGTAGCATCAGGGTCCATATGAGTGACATATATTTGTCGCTTTCAGAAAGCATGTCCTTGTTTCCACAGAGGGGATTTTTTAAAATTTTGTTTTATTTATTTATTTATTTGAGACGAGGTTTCGATCTTGTTGCCCAGGCTGGAGTGCAATGGCGCGATCTCGGCTCACTACACCTTGCATTCTGCCTCCCGGGCTCAAGCAATTCTCCTGCCTCAGCCTCCCAAGTAGCTGGGATTACAGGAATGCACCGCCACGACTGGCTAATTTTGTATTTTTAGTAGAGAGAGGGTTCCTCCATGTTAGTCAGGCTGGTCTCAAACTCCAACCTCAGGTGATCTGCCTGCCTCAGCCTCCCAAAGTGCTGGGATTATAGGTGTGATCCACCATGCCCGGCCCACATAGGGGATTTTTTTTTAACAGTCCAGTCACTAAGTTGCCCTTCTGCTGACCAGATGGCTAGGCTGTTGGCAACAGCCTATGACTTGGTGAAATGTAGCAAGATATGGCGATGGGGTGGCCCAAATGGACATCATCACTGCATGTAGTTTGACCCATTGATCATAATGTCCATGTTCAGCCTCAGTCAAAAGATGACCACTTATTGGCCTGATGGTGGCTACAGTCAAGAGGATCCCTCCTGTTTTGTTTGATGGAACTTTCAGTAAATCACGCCATACCATTGGTAGGCACATCTCAGAATCTTAGGACCCAGGGAGCCAGAGGAGAAGCCAAAGCATCCCCTGTGGGTTGTTTGGACCCTTCTAATAAGCAAGCCATTTTTTTCATGAAGCCCCCTGGTCCCTTGGGGTTGCAACTGGGCTTGATTTCAAATGTACCATTTCTGTATGATAATCAAGCTCTTTTGAGTCTGCTCCAATTCATTGATAGGGTTTTTGTTGTTGTTGTTAGCACCCAAGTGTGGGCAGTTTAAGTCACAGAGTCACATGTAGTGCTCTAGCCTTAAGACACACAGTGTCCACCAGTGCACAACAGCAAGCAAAAAGTTACGTTCCAAGAGTTGTATCGGGTGGCTGCCTCAAGCAACTTAAAGTTCAACTTCGAAGAGGGTAGGTCTGCCCAGTGACAAGTTTCTGTTGCCATAGACTCCAGTCAGTGTTCTTGGTGGTTGTGGACACCTGTCATTGCATCAGACTAACAGACTGTAAATGTTTTAAAAGCAGCAGCAAGGCCACCACTTTACATTGTTTTCTAAGGCCTGCTACTGCAAAGTCCATTGTTCAAAGTTGGCGGCTTTGTTGGTCACCAGGATTAAAGGGGGCCAAAAAAACACCCACATGGGTTATATGCTGTGTTTAGTACCCAAGAGACCTACCAGCTGTGGGGCTTCTTTTTTGTTAGTAAGTGTCACCAGCACCAACCATTTTTGTTTGACTATATCTGGGATACTTCCTTGGCTTTCTGTCCAGGTGACCTTGACATTCAGCTTATGACCATCCATTAGTCTTCATGCCCCGAAGGCCTGTCTGACCAGCCAGACTAGGCCAATGCATTGTGACATTTTTATCTATAGTGGGTTTTGAATTAAGAAAGTAGTGTCTTATTCTCCATTTGGTATGCAGTACTGCTTTCATTGAGTAACTTATGAGGTCTTGGGTAAGTCTTGAATAACTTATGAAGTCTTAGGTGGCAGGCCGGGGTGGATATGTGCCACAGGTATAGCTCCAATTCTTAGCAGCGAGGGGCATACCTCCTCAGGTGGTGGTGATGTTCTGCACCACAAGCAACCAAACTATCAATATCCATACTCAGTGGTGGGAACTGTGGTCACCAGCACCCAAAGTGACACAAAGTATCTACTCACAGCACGTAAGCATAGTGAGTCATTACATTTGCCTGAAACCCTCCCATGGTCATCAGTTTAACTTTTCCCTAGGAAAACTGGAAATAAGTCCTGTGGGCTCCAGCATCCAAGAACTCCAGAAAAGCCTACTTTCATTTCTTTTTCTCATTTTAACAGGAGTATAGGGCCATCTCTGGTGGAGACCTGGAGACCTTGGTCCTGCTCTAAACTATTCCATTTAGCCGTTTGGATCCACAGTGTCCCTTTATCAAACAAACACTTCAACCAGGCTGCATAAGCCTTTCCTGGCCTTTTTGTATACTCATCCTCTAGATAGTGAGCTTCATTTTCTGTGAGGCCTGCGTTGTGTGTGTTGGTTCTCTCAGATGCCTCAGGGACTGTCTGAGTACCTCTTTCCTGTTCCCTCTCAGGAGCCATCTGACTACCCGCTTCTTGAGCTGTCTGGCCCTGGGAATGAGCAATTACATGTGTCAAACAACCAGGGGATCATGTGCCGAGCTCCCGCATTTCTGTTTCTTGCTCTGCCTCAATTCATGCAGCCAGCTCATTCATTGAGGGGGTCATCTATATTCCATTTATTATGGTTCCTTCTCCATAAAACATCCAGCTGCATATCCAAGCCCCTCAACCCTTTAGGGTGATATCTCTGCCCTAGGCTGGGTATTGGGGGCAGGGAGGCGAAGGGGTGAAGCCATTCAAGCTTTATCAGTAAGCCATGGTTCTGTCAGAGCAGACCCTACTAACAGCACTGATGGTATGAAACAAGTTCACTATGTACTAGTTACCAACTTGTCAGTGTTAATGGAACTCACTCATACAGCACAAGTTATATGAAGCAAATTTATTTCCTACAGATAGGCAGTAATAGTAAAAGCCTAGGTTTCATGGTGGTCCATTCCCACAAGTGTTGGATGGAGTTTCATCTGTGTGTTCCCCATACAGCTGAGGGACCCCAGAAAGCAGCTTGCGCTGAGTTTATACCCCAGGCTATAAACCCAGCCTGCCCTGGGTTTATACCACAGAAACAGAGAAATGGTGGTGGTCAGCACTGGTTTACATGAGTTGCTGAGCTAAAGCATGAAAAGACATGCATATTTCTAGGAGGGAACTGAAATAGAGTATGGATTATTCAGGCCATTCCCTCAATCAGAATGTTGCATTTTCTAGCACATTCTACAGCTATTTTTGAGAACCACAACTGAGAAAGGGAGAACAAGATTAGTCTAATGACATCCAGATGACTGTCCAACAAACTGTAGATTTCTTCGTCCAGCTACTTAATTAACATTTTTACTTGGATGACTTTTAAAAAGTGTAAAACTTAACATTTCCAGAATAGAATTTAGGAATTTTCCTGATCTACCCAGACCCATCTGAGTTACTGAATTTTCCTTATGTCAGTAAATGGTACCACTATTTACCTAATTGTTGAGGCCAGAAATCTTAAGAGTCCTCTGAATTCTCGCCATTCTTTAAATATCTAGATCCAGTCTATCAATAAATTCTGTTAACTTTAAAAGTGTATTCAGAATACAGCCACTTTTTGTTACCTCCATTACTGCCAGCCTCATTCAAACCATCACCTCTCATGAGGGCTACTGCAATAATGTGCTTATTAGTTGCCCTACTTTTTTCCTGTTGCCACTCTATAGTCTATTCTTTACAGAAGCTAAAATATAAATTGAATCACATCACTCCTGTGCTTAAAATCCTTCAGTGGTTTCCAAATTACATGTACGCTGTATGACACTGGAACAACATGGGTTTGAACTGCGTGGATCGACTTATTAGCAGATTTTTCTCGATAAATATATGGGAAAATTATTTGAAGGTTTGCAACAATTTGAAAAAACTTGCAGACAAATACCATGTGGCCTAGAAATATCAAAAAAATTAAGAAAAAGTTAAGTATGTCATAAATGCACAAAATATATATAGGTACTAGTCTATTTTATCATTTACTACCATAAAATATACAAAAATCTATTATAAAAAGTTAAAGTTTTTCAAAACTTAAACACCGTACTTGGCACTATTTGTAGTTCAGAGAAATGTAAACAAATGTAAAGATGCAATATTAAATAACTACATAAAACTATAGAACATACTACACTATTGTAATACTTTTGTAGCCACCTCCTGTTGCTATGGTGGTGAGCTCAAGTAAACTCAGTGTGGCATTAATCGTTTACTTCTGAGTAGTTCACGTTTCCAGTAAGTTGCAGAGCTCGGTAGAAAGTGATGTCTTGTGGTTCTCGTGTATTTTTCATGTTTAGTGCAATACCATAAACCCGAATAACATGGGATCTGTATGAAGTGGCACTAGTGATACTGAAAATGCTCCCAAAAAGCAGAGAGAAGTCAGGATGCTACAAGAAACAGTTGAGTTGCTTGATAATGTACCATAGAGTGAGGTGTGCAGCTGTGGTTGCTTTCCTTTCCAGACAGATGATTTATCTTGTAAACAGATGATGTAAACTTATCGTGTCAGTAAATACACTACAGTACTGTAAATGTATTTTCTCTTATGCTTTTAACATTTTCTTTTTTCTAGCTTTGTTGCAAGAATACAATATATAATGTAGCATACAAAATATAAGTTAATTGTGTTATTGGTAGGGCTTTGGTTAACAGTAGGCTATTAGTAGTTAAGTTTTGGGGAGGTTCAAAAGCATATGTGATTTTTGACTGTATGGTGGGTCTGTACTCGAACTCCCATCTTGTTTAAGGATCAACTATATAATTAAATCTAAGTCTTTACCATGGCCTGCAAGGTGCTTCATGATATGACTCTTGGCTCCTTAACCATTTACTCACTCTGCTCCTAGTCCAGTTCCTCAAATATTCAAACATGTTCCTCAGGGCTTTCAAGTATACTGCCCCACAAGTATTTGCACGGTCACTCCTCCTACTTCATCCAGTCTTCCGTTCAAATGGCATCTCAAAGGCCTTCTCTTATTCTTCTTGAAGTAAGAGTTCCTATCACTGTATTCCCCAACCTTGTTTTGTTTGTTTACCATGTCTTCTAACCTTGAATATAGGCTTCCTTAGAACAGCGACTTAGTCTGTGTCTTTAATGTCTTAGAACAGGGCCTACTATACAGTAAGCACTTCATAAATGATGAATCATGAACTAATCAAGTGGGCCAAAATTTGTTGTCACTAATTGTAAATAAGATAGTTAGATTTTCTTTTTTCAGGGCTGGTATCTTGCATAGTGTCAGATATCTGGTTAATACTACCTAAAAGGTGTTGCATAATAGTAATACTTTTTCTATAACTAGTGCTCAAATTTTATGGCTCTTGACAGTTTATAAAATACTTTCATATACATACTCTTAATTCTAAAATCTCTACTTTTAAGCTTAGTGTAGGATGTCTGTTATTTCAGTTTTACAGTTTTAGAAATTCATTTTTAGTCCCTTCAAGAGATTTGTTTAAATCTGCAATTATTATTTAGCCCAGTGTCTCATGGATTTAATTTATAACATGGAATGAAAATATTTCAAGTAGTATAAGAGTTACATTTATTCTAAAAACTGTAATTTCAAAATGATAATTCAGTATTTATATACAGTTATGATGGTTAAATTATTTTATTATGCTCACTCCAAATTGCTATGGAATTTGATTACATAAGGGTATATGCGTATAAGAAACTGGATGTTTTTCCTGAAATACATTATTTTTCCATTTGAAACTCTTCCTAAAGGACTCTAAAACTTTAGCAGCAAAGGAAAAAGAAGTTAAAAAGATAACAGATGGACTGCATGCCCTTCAAGAAGCAAGTAATAAAGATGCTGAAGCTCTGGCGGCTGCACAGCAGCACTTCAATGCTGTTTCCGCTGGCCTGTCCAGTAATGAAGATGGAGCAGAAGCAACTCTTGCTGGTCAAATGATGGCCTGTAAAAATGATATAAGTAAAGCTCAGACAGAAGCCAAACAGGTAAATATAGACATTAAGCATTATGTGATTGCTTTTTTTTCAAGAAGTTTCTTTTCACATTATGCTTTGGCAATTGTTACATAGTGTTGAAAATAATCAGTGTCAAGGAACTTGTTTATTTATGTTATTCTGCAACTCTAATGCCTAATGCAGGAAAAGTCAAATATATTATTGCTAAATATTGATGAACTTAATTTGTTAAGATGCCGTACAACATAAATTACGTTAATTCAGTATGTAAGTGTAATAAATGCTTTGTTCTGTTTGCAGCATTGTGTGGAATTTTAGAGATTAATCCATTTATTCTTTTTTTGGCTATTTTTATTTTTTATTAATATCATAATGTTGAAGTCTTAAGCTTTAACAGGAAAACGGGATTGTCCTCCCCATTGCTCTGCCTATCATACCTAGTTCTTAAAACCTTGTTTCTGAAGCTTTACATTTTTCTAGGAAGTATCTCTACCTCACATTTAGCCACATTCTAGTCTTTGTTCTCCCTACTCTGATTTCATAATCTTAAAAGTCTTGTCAGTCTATTACAGTGTTTCTCAGATTTTACATAGTAGTGCAACTTCAAGTCCTATGAACACAAGAAATTTGCTAGCAGAAAAAATACATGTACACAGGCATATCATTGTTTCTTTTTTAATGGAAGATGCAGATTTTAAAACAGGTACACAAATGTGTGTGATTATGCATTAATCCTCAGGTTTTCCTCTTTATATATTTGCAACTTTTTCATTCAGGCATGACAGAGATGACAGTCACAAATTTATAAGAACTCTCAACAGTAGAAAATCTTTAAAGTACCCCCATCTGGGTTTTAGAATACTAGTTCATAGTTTTAAGAAGCAGTGGTCAATTGTATAAACTCTTGAATGCCTGACACATTTAATTTAAATAGTTCTAGCATTTAATTATTAGACTCTCAGCATTTAAGTTTCTTTGTCAGTTTAGCTTCTTTTCCTGTATAATTTTAGATCTTATTGCTCAATTCAGTTTCTTAACTGTTTTTAGACAGCACTCACAAATATATACAAATACAAATATAAACAAGCGGAAAGGAAAGGAAGGAGAGTTGTGATTTCTAGCTGGCTGTAATTACCAGCTACTGACAGTTATTCAATATAATTCTTCAATTTTAATATGTCATATTGAAGGGGTGGCCTGCCCCTCCACACCTGTGGGTGTTTCTCGTTAGGTGGAATGAGAGACTTGAGAAAAGAAATGAGACACAGAGACAAAGTATAGAGAAAGAAAGAGTGGGCCCAGGGGACCGGCGCTCAGCTTACAGAGGACCCACGCCGGCTGAGTTCCCTCAGAGGACCCACGTCTCTCAGTTCCCTTAGTATTTATTGATAATTATCTTTACTATCTTAAAGATAAGGGAGTGGCAGGACAATAGGATCATTGTAGGGAGGAAATCAGCAGTAAGACATGTGAACAAAAATCTCTGTGACATGAATAAGTTTAAAGGAAAATGCTGTGCCTTGAGATGCGTATGCAAACATCTCCATAAACCTTTTAGCAGCATTGTTTCAGCCTATCACATGGGGAGAAACCTTGGACAATACCTAGCTTTCCTAGGCAGAGGTCCCTGCTACCTTTGGCCGTGTACGTGTCCCTGGGTAGTTGAAAGTAAGAGAATGGCAATGACTTTTAACCAGCAAGCTGCCTTCAGGCACTTGTTTAACAAAGACACATCCTGCACAGCCCAAAATCCATTAAACCTTGAGTCACCACAGCACATGTCTCTTGCAAGGACAAGATTGGCGGTAGGGTCACAGATTAACAGCATCTCAAATACAGAACAAAATGGAGTCTCTTATGTCTACTTCTTTCTATATAGACACAGTAACAGGCTGATCTCTCTCTCTTTTCCCCACACATATCTTATTAAAAATATGGACTTTAATTTCAATTTCTTTAACAACATGTTAATCATATATTAGTTTATATTTTGAGTAGTTTTTGAGGAGAAAATACTGGGAAATGACTAATTTCTTGAAATACTAATCCAAGAGACCAAACAATTAAATTTTTAAGGCTAAGGTCTCTTAGTAAAACCAATCTGAATCTTTGGCCATTTAATTACTAGCACTGTCTGCCTCATACATCCTATAGTCTGTTGCATTTTTCTGCCACAGGCTCAGATGAAGCTGAAGCATGCTCAACAGGAATTAAAGAATAAACAAGCTGAAGTTAAGAAGATGGATAGTGGCTACAGGAAGGATCAAGAAGCTTTAGAAGCTGTAAAAAGACTTAAAGAAAAACTTGAAGCTGAAATGAAAAAGCTAAATTATGAAGGTTTGCCTTTAAAAACATGATAATCAGGTCATGAGGAGGTAGTGATTTTTGATAAAAAGCTAATTTAAATAAAGAACGCAAGCAAGTAGGAAACATTTCTTAGCCTATTAACGAGCGTTAGTATAAGAAGTGTTTGTAAGTATAGTAAAAAAAAATACCTAATTATAAAACAACTCTTGAATTTTTGAAAACTCAGTATTGAGAATTTCCTGCTTCAATCATTCAAGCTCAAATCATTCAAGCTCACATCATTCAAATCAATCATTCAAGCTCAAAAATGTCATTTGTGTATTTCTACATTAGTAGGCATTCAGTTTGTATATTATTTTTTGGAATGAAAATTATGTTATTTGCTATTGGAAATAATGTTTGACAATGGATAGAAATTGGAAGGTTCAGCGTGCTTTTGTAATACTTACAGAAATTTGTATTTTTTGTATGTTTTGGAAATAGTGGTTACTAATAGTTTCCTTAAAACAGTAGACTGAACTTTTAAAACTCGGTTTTATTATGATTTATCTTTCAGAAAATAAAGAGGAAAGCCTTTTGGAAAAGCGCAGGCAGCTGTCTCGTGATATCGGTAGATTGAAAGAAACATATGAAGCTCTATTAGCCAGATTTCCCAATCTTCGATTTGCATACAAGTAAGAGACTTAAGCCTTGAATTTTAAGATAGAAATAATCAAGACATTTTTATTTAAGCTGGAAGCAGTCTGAAAGTTTTGTCGACACCAAGATTTTTGTATGAAACTTGTTGTAACTGCTTTTCTTTCATTGGTATTTTTCCTTTAAGCATTTGTTGAAATGTTTTAAATGTTGGCAGGGAAATTCTTGTGAAATTTAATGGCTAATGATGCCACTAATCTTAAAATCAGGGAAATTTAATCGCAGTTCAAAATGTCTTTAAAGTTATTCTGTCATTAAAGTTAAATATCCACGTTTACATCTTATAATTTGTTTTGCTATGTGGGTTTTTTAATGGAATATTTACAGTAATCATATGTATGATAGGGATTAGAACATCAGAATTCTTATTACATTGAAACATACTGAAAGATCTATTGATTGATGTAAAAACAACAGCTGGCTAGTCATTTGGGACATTTTAAAATTTTTGGTTTGTTAAAACCATGTGCTGATTCTGCTTTCATTTCACTTTAATGTGTTGTCCAAAAGAGCTCTTGATGAGTAAAGTATAACTTTTTCTACTTTATTATCTAAGGTAAATTTTTGTCAACTTTTGTATTTCAGGGATCCAGAGAAGAACTGGAATAGAAATTGTGTGAAAGGACTTGTGGCTTCTCTGATTAGTGTGAAAGATACTTCTGCAACCACAGCTTTAGAATTAGTGGCTGGAGAACGACTCTACAATGTTGTAGTAGACACAGAAGTAAGTCGATTTTAATTTAAAAAAAATTTTAATTTGGTTAGCTTGAAAAGTCATGTGCTGCTAAAAGAATTGAATACTTTCTTGATGTTTTAAGGCTCTCCCCTAAGGTGACATATTTACAGGGTAAAACTGTTTGGTTCATAACTATTTGGTAACTGTTCCAAAGGAAGGCTCATGCTTACTCAGAAACTCAGAATGCATATTACCAATCTGAAACTTTTGGGATCTCTTTGCTGTATAAGTTGAATTTAATTTGTAAAATAATCTGAGAACAAATGACCTGTTTTTAATGTCAGTCTTCCCATCAAGGTAACATTGAATTTATCTACATTTCTTCAGTTGTCCTTGTTATCCTTCTGTAAAATGCTCATACTCTTTCCTGTAAATGCTACATAGTCATTGTCAAATTTACTTCCTTGTTTTTTTTAAATTTATATCATATATATTTAAAATGTACAAGAAGCCTGGATATGGTGGCTCACACCTGTAATCCCAGCACTTTGGGAGGCCGAGGTGGACAGATCATTTGAGCCCAGGAGTTCAAGACCAGCCTTGGCAACATGGCAAAACCCCATCTCTACTGAAAATACAAAAGTTAGCCAGGCACGGTGGCGTGCACCTGGAGTCCCAGCAACTCTGGAGGCTGAGGCACAAGAATTGCTTGAACTTGGGAGGTGGAGGTTGCAGTAAGCTGAGATCACACCACTGCACTCCTGCCTGGGCAACAGAGCAAGACTGTATCTCTAAAAAAAGAAAAAAACAAATGTACAACGAGATGTTTTGATACATATACATGGTGAAATGGTTATTGTAGTCAAACATATTAACATAGCCATTCATCTTTCGTAGTTACCTTTTTTGTGTGTGATAGCACCTAATATTTACTCTTAGCAAATTTTCAATATACACCATTATTAATTATAGTCCTCATGCTATACATTACATCTCTGAATAGGTAGATTTATTTATCCTACCCAACTGCAAATATGTACCCTTTGACCTGTGACCTACTTCCACCCATTTTCTTTCCCTCCTCATCCCTGATAAACACTATCCTACTCTTTTTATTTGTTCAACTTTTTTTT